CAGGTCTGTGGCCTAGTTTGCCGTGGCCCGCTACCTAGGGGAGCTGCTGCAGCAATGCCAATGGCAGGAAGCCTCCCGCCTCCACCTATGCCTCTGCTGGTGACTGTGCCGGTGAGAGAGACCATCCGGAAGTACTTCCCTGAGACCTGGATCTGGGACTTGGTAGTTCTCGAGTAAGTTGGTGCTGCCTGGAATTTAGTCGAGGAGGGGATTTGAGCCCTGCTCTGTGACCTGTGTAATCCTCGGCTCCTGATTCTTTCTTCTGTTCTGCTCTTCTCTGGTAAATAGGTTCACAGTTCTTGTATCTCGTAGCTAAACAAGGCTTTTTTCTAATGGGGGCTTTTTTCTAATATAACTAAAATAACAGAAAGCAGGAGACTAGCTTTCCCCTTAAAAGGAAGGAACGACAGATGGAAGGAAGGCAGGCTTGCAGAGACCTCGCTTGGAATGCAAAACCTTAGATTGAGTCTAGCTTTTACCACACTGAGTTACATTCTAGGATCAGCTATAGGTTGTGCTTTTTTTAAAAAAGAGAGAGAGACTCATTCACTCTACTTTTTCCCTTCCCCAGTTCATCCGGTGCAAGTGAGCTGACAAAGAAGGTTCCAGACACCATCACCGAGTGGAAGGCCAGTGCACTCTGCTTGTCAAAGACCACGGGGCTGGGCCTCTCCCCCATCGTCCCTCTTCAAACCTTCCAGCCCTTCTTTCTAGAACTCACCCTCCCCTACTCCGTGGTGCGAGGAGAAGCCTTCACACTCAAAGCCACTGTGTTCAACTACTTGCCGCACTGCATACGGGTAAGAGCGCTTCTCTGCACACGAGGGGAAGCAGGAGGGAGGAACGTGATCGCTGTTCAGCACCTGGGTCTCCCAGGCAATCTCTGAGGAAATCAGGCCCCGAAATGATGTGTCCGAATTTGGGGATGGAACAGGAAGTAAGACCAAAGTCACCCAACAGGCTGAAGGTGGGTCAGGGCATATTCATTCAGGCCTCTATAGCTTCTAAATTCAGACATTATTTTTCCCTGATTACTTCATGTTCTCACTCAAGTAAAGAAAGCATTTCTTCCCTGTGTTGGCACAAGGCTACATCCTAAGCATTCCTGTCGATGTTTCAGTTTCCTTATTATGAACACCTAGACAGAGTAGTTCATCAGCTTCACCTTGTTTGAAAGACTTCTTGAAGCATCTAGGCTAGTTGAGCGGCCCCTCTCGGCTCCTTTCCCCTGCTGCTGACCCTCTGCCTGTGCTCATCCACAAACATGGGGCTGGTGTGGGCACAGGTTCGCGTGGAGCTGGAGGCCTCTTCTGCTTTCCTGGCCGTCCCGGTGGAGGAGAGTGAAGACTCCCACTGTGTCTGTGGAAATGGACGGAAGACCGTGTCCTGGGCTGTGACCCCAAAGTCCCTGGGTGAGTGGTAGGCCTGTCGGCAAATCCCACCTCTGATGGCGTGATGGTCTGCCTTCTGCTCTGACCCCAGTACATGCTTGTTCTCCTTTAACACCGATCAAGAGGAAGAAAACCGCTCGATAGACTTTAAGAGCCCACTCCAAGGGAACCAGCAGTTAGTGTAATGGCTATGTCGCTGGACTCCCACGTAGTCAATCGCGGTTCGTGTCCCGGACCCGGTGGCTTAAAAAACTCACGCCGGGCGCGTGTGCGTGCGTGCCCAAGATCCCGAGAGGAGAATGGAGGAGAAGGGATTGTGGCGTGACCATCCCCCCTGGGGGGTGATTTCTTGCTTTCTGTCTCTATGTCTCTCTCTGTCTGTCTGGCGAGCGCACGCGCCCTACAGTGAAGATCTCTCAAAAAAAAAAAAAAAAAAAAAAGAGCTCTCTCCAACACAGAATCACTGTTTAACTCCTCAAGACTCTTATTTTCCAGGAAAGGTGAATTTCACCGCTACCGCAGAAGCCCTGCAGTCTGAGAAACTGTGTGGCAATGAGGAGCCTAAAGTCCCAGCACTTGGACAGAAAGATACCGTGGTCAAGCCTTTAATAGTTGAGGTATGTGTTGTCATCTTTCTGCATCTCAGGGCCGCATCATGGAATAGCACATGCTCAACAGGGCTGTGACAGTGATAGGATGTCCCAAGAGCATGGACGTAGCTACAACTCAATTTTTTACTAACATCTTCCCCTCTAAAGCAATTGATTTTTCTCCTCTACATTCAGTATCACTTTTTTTTTCTTTCAATACACAGCCTGAAGGAATAGAAAAGGAGGAAACTTTCAACTCAGTGCTCTGTGCATCAGGTGAGTATAAAAACTGAATAAAATGCCCCTGTTGAACCATTTACCAGAGCCTATACTTATAAAATGCTTTGTAGGGCAAATTTTTCTCTGCAAAAAAATAAAAGAAAAAAAAACTAAAAATATCTCTCACATGTACACCTCTAAGGACATTTCATAAAGAACAACCTTTTTCTGGGACCAGCAGTTAGCGTAATGGCTATGTCACTGGACTCCCATGTAGTCGACCGTGGTTCGCGTCCCGGACCCGGTGGCTTGAACTCACGCCGGGTGCATGTGCGTGTGTGCCCAAGATACTGAGAGGAGAATGGAGGAGAAGGGATTATGGCATGGCCATCCCCACTGGTGGGGGATTTCTCACTTTCTATCTCTCTGTCTCTCTCTGTCTGTCTGGTGAGCACATGCCCCTATAGCCAAAACCTCTCCAAAAAGGAAAAAAAGAAAGAAAAAAAAAAAAACTCCATCTGATGAAAATCACTTTAGAACTAGGCTTAATTTTCTCAGAGGAATAAAAAGGACTCACTACTGCAAATATTCTTATTACCACATTTTAAACAAACAGTCTGAGGCATGGAAAAGTTACCAGACTTGCCTAAAAGTTCTTGTCAAATGTGAAGGATTAAAGCTGTTGACCCCAGGATGGAATTCCTGAGCTTTTTTCTAAACATTGAACTATTTGGGACTAGTACTGTTTATTGTTTAGCTTATAGCTTAAGTTTACTTGTGTCTTTTGTTAAGTAAGTAATTTTTTTAGAGCTTTTTGCTATAGAGTACATGCACTCGCCAGAAAGACAGAGAGAGACAGAGAGACAGAAAGCTAGAAATCAACCCCCTGGGGGATGGCCACGCCGCTATCCCTTCTCCTCCATTCTCCTCTCAGGATCTTGGGCACGCACGCACATGTGCCCGGCGTGAGTTTTAAGACACCGGGTCCGGGACTCGAACCACGGTCGACTACATGGGAGTCCAGCAACATAGCCATTATGCTAACTGCTGGTCCCAAATAAGTGATTTTTAAGAGCAACTCCTACATTCACATGTATAGAAAACCAATGTTTTACTAATACTATTAATCATATAAAATCACCATTAAAAAATTAAGCCTTGTGCCATATAGAACCATCTCAAGGACAAACCATGGTCCACAGACCTCTTTTTTTCCTTGACATAAGTAACCCTTAATAATCTCATTAGGTCACAAGGCTTTAGTACAGCCATGTGCTAGGCTTCTTCGGACTACACTTCCTTCTTGTATGTAATGCCCACCCATCATCTTCACTGTTAGGCTTGTCAGTCTAATACGCATCTCTAAATGAGCATGCTCAAAACTGAGTCATGGGAACCAGCAGTTAGCGTAATGGCTATGTCACTGGACTCCCACGTAGTCGACCGCGGTTCGCGTCCCGGACCTGGTGGCTTAAAACTCACGCCGGGCGTGTGTGCGTGCGTGCCCAAGATCCCGAGAGGACAATGGAGGAGAAGGGATTGTGGCGTGACCATCCCCCCTGGGGGGTGATTTCTCGCTTTCTGTCTCTATGTCTCTCTCTGTCTGTCTGGCGAGTACACGTGCCCTATAGCGAAAATCTCTCTCAAAAAAAAAAAAAAAAAAAAAAATCAGTCATACTTCCTTGGTTTAAAATGCCTACCATCCCACTCTCAGATGAGGGAAAAGTCCATTCTTCTACTTGCTAGGGACAAACACTTTAGACTTCTCCTTTACTATGTTCTTTCTCTTCCACTTTACACCCAAGCCATTCTCCCAGCTGGCTCCACGTGCAGTTACATCCAGAACCTGCCTGCTTCTCGCCACGTCCACTCTGCTCCAGCCCTTTCTCTCCTGGACCGTCACAGATCTTCCTGCTCAGCTCCTAACCCTCTATCCTTGTTCTTCTACAGCAAGAGAGATCCTTTCAAATACCTGTCAGATCGTGTCCTTCCTCTGCTCAAACCCTTTAGGAATTTCCCATATCCCTCAAAGTTAAAGCCTAAATCCGTCTGTTCCGTGGGATGTCACTGTAAACCCTCACCGTCCTCATGTTTCCATGTCCTACTCATCTCTCCTCTGCTTCTTGGTCTGGCCACATGGTCCTCTTGGAACACATCGAGCATACGCCAATGTCTGGAGTCTCTTCACTTTTAGTTTCTTTTTTCCTGGAAATATTGTCTCTCAGGATTTACTTTTAGTCTCTGTTCACTTATGACTTTTGATCAAAGAGCTTTTCAATAGAGGAGATGTCTCCCCTACATCCTGCATTTCTCGATTTCCTTGTTTGACCAACTCACCGTAGTAGGTCACCCTGTTTTAATTTCTGTATAGCACTTATCAACATCTATTATGATAAATATATCCTCAGTTATTTATCTCACTACTTCCCTAGCTTTTAAGCTTCTATTAAGCTTTTAAACTTCAGGGGGCCAAGAAATTTGTTTTAAAAAGTGAAGTTTCATTGCACATAAAAGAGAACTTGGTACACAGCATGTACTTAGTATATATTTATGAATGAATGTGATAATAATCACTTAATATATGTTCATGATAATAATCACTTAATATATATGTGATAATGATCACTAAACATTAACAACACTAGACATTAATAGAGATAATGAATAGAAGGAAATAAAGTATATCCTTATAAGGAAAACCATAGGCATGCAGCACAAATGCATATGATTAACATGAGCTTATGAGAACATGAGATAGTCATGGTTTCTGGAGAACAGTGAATTAATGGGTTGTCAGAAAAGTCATGACATATTTTTCTCTGTTTTCTGTGCAAAAACACCTCATGACAACCCAGTGCATGAAAGAGTTCTCCAATGACCAAGGGATGTGAAAGGTTGGATCTGGATCGTATAGAGGGGAAAAAATGTCTAACAAACTCAAAATATTTCTCTCATTTTCCTCTCCCTTATTTGTGTTTATCTTCTTTCCTTAGATGCTGGGGCACCTGAAAAGTTGTCACTGAAAGTTCCTCCAAATGTGGTGGAAGGCTCTGCCAGGGCAACGTACACAGTTTTGGGTGAGTCTTTCAGCCAATGGGAGCGAACGACTTCATAATTCTGGTGTGTGGGGCCTCACCATTCATGATTAGTGAACTCCCTGACACCAGGCATTGGTTTGAGAGAGAGTGCATTAAACTAAGGATTGACCTCTACATTGGATGGCAAGCAAATTGAACAGATGTACTCCATATTATGCCTTGATATACTCTCAAACGCAAAGACACTCGCCGCTCTGTGCCCTCATTGACAAGCAATGTACTTCCTAGTAGCTTTGAAGATGATTGGTGGTTAAGTTTTTCAGACATGTGACCACCAGAAAAGATGTTTCACCTGCTGTCCAGTTTCGTCCCTGCTTTTCTCTCCAGGAACACTTTAATTTTTCTCATCTTTTGTTTTCTCTTCTATTTCTGCTTTATCCACTTTTGTACTTCCTTGTCCTTCCCTCCATAAGTAATTTGGGCTCCAAACTATTAATTTATTTTCCTAACCTAACACAAACCAGCTCTGCGCTCCTCTTAGTATTTTTTTTTTTAAGAAAGAGACTTTTGTTATAGGGTGCGTGCGTTCACCGGAGAGACAGACAGACAGAAAGCAAGAAACCAACCCTCCCACCCCCGCAGGGGAGATGGCCATGCCACAGCCCCTTCTCCTCCATTCTCCTCTCAGGATCTTAGGCATGCATGCACATGCACCTGGCATGAGTTTTGAACCACTGGGTCTGGGACTAGAAGCACAGTCGACAATGTGGGAGTCCAGTGACATAACCATCACTCCATCTGCTGGTCCCCACTTTGATTCTTTTATAATTCTCATTCTTCAGGTGATATACTAGGCTCTGCAATGCAAAACCTTCAGAATCTGCTCCGGATGCCCTATGGTTGTGGAGAACAGAATATGATTCTTTTTGTCCCCAACATCTATGTCCTGAACTATCTGAATGAGACACGACAGCTGACAGAGAAGATCAAGTCCAAAGCCATTGGCTTCCTCGTCAGTGGTAAGAGATTACCCCAAAAGGAGGAAGCTTAATTGGGCTTTAAATCTCATGAACTCAAATCAGCATCTATTTGGTTCAGACTTGAAGACTTGTTGCTCTGATTTTCTTTCCTCTATACAAGAAAATCCAATGGTATCTTCAAACCTTGGAGACATCTCAAAATAATCACTGTCCCGTGATAACCTGACAGTGGTGACGAAAACCTGTATAATTCTCCAGTTTCTCTGCTGTTTTACAAATGTATGAAAAATTCCTCTTTAGGGTACCAAAGGCAGTTGAATTATAAGCACAACGATGGTTCATACAGCACCTTTGGGGAAAGCAGTGGAAGCCAGGGAAACACTTGGTAAGATAACTGTTTCCATTTCTATTTCTCTGCAGATCCTTGATATTTTAGGATTATGGAAATAGCTACTCTCTAGTACCCAGAGTTCTCTCAAGGAAAATTGTCATCTTTAAAAACTCACATGCAAGGGTTGTTCAAAAATTTTATGGAAAATGTGTATTATGGAGCCACTCAATAGGTTAAGGGAGCCAGCTCCCACGTGGTCAACTGAGGTTTAAATCTCTCTCAGCAGCCATAGCTTGAAAAACATGCAAGTACATGCGTGTGCATGCTCAAAATCCCAGTGAGATGAAGGAGAAGGAATTATAACACGGCTACATCTCACTGGAGGGAGCTTTTTCCCTCTCCCTCTCTCTCTCTCTCTTTCTAGTGAGTATACACACCCTCTGGCATTTAAAAAAGAAAAAGAAAAGAAAAAAAAGAAAAGAAAAGAAAAGAAAAGAAAAGAAAAGAAAAGAAAAGAAAAGAAAAGAAAAGAAAAGAAAAGAAAAGAAAAGAAAAGAAAAGAAAAGAAAAGAAAAGAAAAGAAAAGAAAAGAAAAGAAAAGAAAAGAAAAGAAAAGAAAAGAAAAGAAAAGAAAAGAAAAGAAAAGAAAAGAAAAGAAAAGAAAAGAAAAGAAAAGAAAAGAAAAGAAAAGAAAAGAAA